GTGGTTTTGATAAGTGGTTCCAGATGTTTTTGCCCATGCTTAAGAGATGCCAAGTTTTTTGGAAGATGTTCGCAGCCAAAACGCATTCTTCCGTACGTCGCATTTCTGTGTAATTTCGCATGTGGTGTGGCATTATGTCCGGGATGATGCACGTCTTTTTATTTTTACCCTAGCTGTTTTGATATTGAAGTAAATGCATATTTTAGAAACATCCCTACTTTTACAATCCTATGGAATAGGCCGTAGGTTTAGGCAGTTGTCTGGTAGCAGAGGTACTATAATTATAAGCAGATATCCTGGTTATCTGGCCGGCGGTAGTAACACTCGCGGTGCTTACCGCAACTGTTGCTGGAATTTGGCCAGGTTCCAGGCGCGCTTAATTAGGTACAGGCACGGTAAGACGGTGGGACTGTCTTTGTTACTAGACATGACCATGATAGTCTGATCTTTATGTGAATGCAATGATTGTGTGTGTGTAATTAAAATGAACTTCCAACTTGAAGCACAGTATCTTTACACGCCCTGGGAGCAGTAATGGATTTAGCTCGTGACGCGCCCTCATTGTATTAACCGTTGCCTAATTATAATGTCTGCACAGTAGGTCTGGCGTTGACGCTTGGGATTTTGTTGAAATATATAAAACTTCACGGAGGATTGTCACCTATGGCTTCTTGTTTAAATTTTGAACCAGCCTGGCGTGTTGACTTCATGGCTCCTATCGTATCATTTTGGGCCATAATACTTAATATGATGCCTATATATATATAGGCCTGTTTTTATTTGTCATTTTTTTCGCCTGCCCGCTCCATTAGTTTTCTAGAAAAATATGTTAACCAAGAAATTAAATTGGTGTGGCCTAAGTGTCTTAACATGAGATGGCAAGTCATTCCACAGTACAATCGCACGATGCAGAAAGGAACATTTCCTGTTGTTCATTTTAGGTTTGGGTAATCTGAAATTGTTGCATACAGAAAATCTGGTGTTGTGATTATGAGATACTGCTACAAGGGAGTTGTAGATCTAGATAGTCTGTGGTTGAACAGTGGTTCACAACTAGTGAGGGTCTAAAAGAACATAATCAATGTACTGATGGAGAATTGCTCTCTCACACTCACAGTCGGCCAACCAAGATTCAGATGCCTGGTTGATTCTATTGGTGCATGTTAAAATGTATCATTGCAGACTGCTTTGGCTCAAATCAACCTCATAGGTTCTGTGGCCACACACCCCTGTTGTGTGACCATCTGTTGGCTATTAGCCTAAGGACCTACTAAAATGTCTTTACTTAAGTCGAGGAGACACCGCTATACAGACGAACCTATACAGACATTTCAAACCCAAAAGTGCTTTTTTTTTATTTTATTTATTTTTTATTTATTAATCTTGAGGGTCGCCCCTTCAGTTGATAAACAACTGATTTCCAAGGGGGCCCTGGCTCCACATCAACAGATGAATCAACAAAACGTTACAATTGTACAACATAAAACACAAAATCGAACATAGGAGTAATTCAAAATACGTTGAACAATATCAACTCAAAATCAGAATTACAGAGCCTGTCACATACGTAAATCAAATAAATAGAACAAAACAAACAACAAAATCAATCCGTTTGCAAAATAAAATACTAGCTATACATGTAGGTCATTGCTTGTTATGGTCAGAGGGGTCAGAGGTCAGATTTTAAGGCTTGTTTGAATGAATTCAGAGTGGTTTCTAATTTTGTCGCTGGTTTGAGGGAGTTATAGATGGAAACCGCTCTGAAAGCAAACGTTCGTTGGCCTGTTCGAGATGTGTATTTTGGTCTGTGTAGCTGTTGAGCCTGCCTGGTATTATAACTGTGGATTTGACTGTTATAGGTAAAAGTGTTGAGTAGATAGCTAGGTGCTAAACCATGTAAACATTTGTAAACCATAGTGCATAAGTGCTGAGTTCTCCGATCCTGCAGATACTCCCATTGTAGTGTTTGATGCAGTTCTTCGACGTTAGCTCTGGGGTCACGCCTGAGTACGATCCTGGCAGCCCTGTTCTGAAGAATCTGTAGTCGTCGTTTGAGTGTTGAGCTGCTGTTGTCCCAGATGACATCACAGTATTCCAGTATTGGTAAGACAATGGCCTTGTATAGCATGTTAGAGACATTTGTGCAAAGATATGGTCGTAATCTTCTAAGTAAACCAATACGCTGAGAGACTTTCAGCTCAATGCAGTTCCTTACAATACTGCAAGAATGGTTATTATCGAAATGAAAGTACTAGTATTCTTGATACATTTTGATACCACATACGGCTGAGGAAGATTCAGCTTGCCTATAGTGAGGTGGTCTAGTGACTGTGAGTTCCATTTTATCTCTCTTGCCGTCCCAACCGCAAATCTACATACCAAATAACATAAGGATACATGCACCACAGTTATAAACTGGATTAAAAAATCTGCAACCCCTATGTATGGTTTACCTAAGACATATACCGGTAACCTTCTCGACGATGGTATGTGTCAGGTAAACTTCCAGTTCCAAGTAACGCTAGCCTAACGGTTAGGGTTAGGTGTGTGCAGCTTACCAGTAAAAGTTCCAATCCTCATCCGCAGAAGCACTTATCCAGCCTCTCTTCTCGAAATTATTAATCAGCACAGACTTCTCGATGTCACAGGCATATTTTACTTTTCCCGCCATCCTTATCTGGTCTCTAGGAGCTCCGAAACCGTCTGCAAAACATGAACTCCAAAAAATTTGACACCCTGACCGCCATTTTGGATTTCAGCCAGATGATTTACATCACGTGACCTCGGTTGGCCAGGTAACTGGTATTTTTAGCTGGAAATATCATTTCATTTTAATAAATCATATGTCACAATGCAGGGTTCTGCAACTCTATGACACTGTATAAACGTTATTTAGACGGTTTCTTGAAAGAATGTGTATTTTCCCAGCACACTACAAAGATACGGGGTATTCCATTCACATGAATGCTCACTTTGTAGGGAGTACACTATGATGAAAAAAGACTCAATGTAAAAAGATATTTCCCTGAAATTTGAGTCCTAAAATGTAATTATATGTAATAGTATAAAATGTTTGATTCACTCACATTATTTTGAATAGGATATAACTATTATAGATTTCACATTTATTTGATATCTTTATACAAAGAGCAAAACCCCCACAAGTACAATGTGATCGTCCCAAAGTGTCATGGCTGCTTCCCAGTCAGAAAAGTCGTCTGATAACGGCTTGGCCGCCGGTTTGGTGGAAAATTACGCCCCAGACAACGTCGTGCGCCCTCCCAGTCCTCTCGGAGCTACACCGAGACCTCCTCTAATGAGAGACCGCCAGGGTTTGGCCAAGTCTGCTGCACAAGGCACGGGAATGGCTCACAGAGAACCAGAAGGAAACCACGGCCAGTCATCGCGTATGTTTCCTCAGGCCTTTTGAAGTTAATATGTTGTTGCCAGACAGGCGATAGCCAAATTTGACGATAGCCGTATTTGATACCTGGTAAACAGGGGTGGTCTGGTTAGTTTTGATTGCTTTTAAGACAGAAAGCAACGAATTTTGGAATGAAACATCCACATAAAGTTAGAGTTGGACCTGAAAAATAGCCTCCGTAGCTAGCAGGCTAAGTTATAGAACTGGGGGTTTGGTGGTCTTCGGCTGTTGTCTGATTAACCCAGTTCTAAAAAATGGGGGTAATTCAACCAGGCCAGCAATGTTGCCTACATGCAATCAGAAAATAGCACATAATAGCTCCCAAAGACCCATGGGCCAGAAGACCGCCAAAACCCCCATTGGCCTGCTGTGGAGGCTACGGAACAAAATCATGTTGAAATTTAGTATTGTCTACTTGTATTTTTAAGGAATCGAATTTCACAGGTGGTTTTTACCTTGATACTGCATAAAATTGAGTATTTAGGCCTCTGTTTGTGGTGAACTGGTGTAGTTGCTTCCCTTTTCATTGTACATAATTTTATAGCACAGAACATGAGTCATTGGCCCTTCCATGATTCTATACTTATAATAAATTTGTTCTTCTTTATTTTTCTTCCAGGGAAAGATGACCTCAGTAGGTCTGAAGAAATGAGCCGGGAAGAGTCTTCCAAAAATTTCACCATCCTGGCATTTATCTTCCTGTCATCTTTGGTCGTCTTAGGCCTGGTCTACTGGAACTTCCCAGACCTGAAGGAGTAAGGAATTAATTAACCAGGGCTTAAAACTCATTTTTCGGAATAGGTGCACTGGTACACCCAGCTAAAAAAATTAGGGGCACAAAAAAAAATTGGGTGCACCATATGAAACAAAATCTAATTGCAGGTCTTACTGCTCCTCTTTTGAGCGTGAATCTAAGATGCTAACTTCAAAATCTTAAACATTACTACAATAATGATTTTATTAATTTATTTTTCTGGTCCTTAGAGACCAAGAATATCCGGTATACTATTATACATTCTAATGTTAAAAATTCCTACAAAAATATTTGGGTGCACCAGCACACCCACAGAAAAAAATTAGGTGCACAGTGACAACTCCAATTTTGGGTGCAGTAAGGTGCACGTGCACCCAGTATTTCCAGCCTTTAACCTACTTCGACTTAGTACAAGGGCTACAGCTAATTCTAAACATGTAGTCTTGGGGCTTTGAATGTACAAAGGACTAGTATTAGGGCTTTGAATGACTGTAATGCTCTGCATTTTTGTACTCCAGCCAGTGGTCAAATCCAAAAACCAGTTCAAATCCAGGCTAGATAAACGTTGTGAGAACATGAAGTTGTATGTATTGATTTAATTTGATTCATTTCAATTGCAACAGTGCATTTACACGTGGGGCACAGGCAGCTGTTGCTGGTGTTGTGTCCCACATATATAAATGAATACAGGACATACAATACTCATTTTCACTTGAGTTTAGTGGGGAAAGTCGTGTAAAGTGCCTTTCCCAAGGGCACAAGATCAGTGGCATGTCAGGACTCGAACCCGGGACCTCTTGGTTCCGAGTCGTGCATTGCGCCACATGACACCACTTTGCCACACAACCCCACTTCATACATTGCATGAAGCTAGAGCCAAGAGATATTACATTTTGTACATGTACAGACAGTTCTTTCCTTCACAAAGTTGGAATCAAGAAAGAGTGTTGTATATTTGTCTTTAGACTAGAGAAACTGATTTCATAGATGACATCATATTCTAACCTATGTGGTACCAGTGTAAAAGAAAGGGACCTTATCAACAATTTTATTGACCTTATTGACAAACATATTTTAATGGTCTGTTTAGTTCCCCTTATAAATGAGCATGTCAACACTAGGGGCTGCTCAGTAGAATACAGTAAACAACCAATGGCTTATGTTTTAATTCAATACCTTTTAATGCTTGTCTCATTTTTTGTTCACCAGGGAGGAGAGGGCAGCTGTGAAATTACCCAGAAACATTGAGGATGCCAAAGCCCTAGGGCGTGTGCTGTCAGTTTACAAGGAGGCGTACTATTATGAAGTCATGGCAGGAGTCACCGTCACATATATATTGTATCCTTTCAGTCGCAACACGTCTTTGAATTGTTAATTTTAAATGTTCAACAGTTACAAATGTTTAGATGTTCAACCGCATTTCAATTCAATTTCAATTTATTCAATCCAACAAAATCGTACAAAAGCAGGAAATGCTAATGCACCCCTGAATTATGTAATTCGATTTTTACAATTATTGAGACAGGGCAAGTACACAGAAACACACTATATATGTACAAAATATGTACAAACACCATTCAATCTACAACAGGAAGTAGCAGACGTACTGTACATGTAGGTTTTCAAATATCAGCCATTGTCACTGACATTGTAGAGTCTTACTGCACAATGTAAGAAAGACTTTTTCAAGCGTAGAAGCAACCTTAAGCAAAGTGAACATGTTCCAGTTCCTTGTACATATGTTGACTAGTTCTGCTAGTCCATCCTAGTACTGCTGATGGATGTCACTTGAAATGCCCGATATCCAGAAGTAATCTCAGTAGGAGAGTTTGAAATTGGTCAATCAGTAATTTTTGATTGATAGAACTTTATTACTTGACAACTGTACATGGTACAATGTATGGCAACAATGACAATGTGAACAATACAATCAAGTCTATTCTAAGAGACTACTAAGTATTACTACAGGAATGTGTACTTAAATGGCGTATAACATGATGTGTATTAGGCATTGCTATCTGTTACAATACTTTCTTTCTTTTGTAATGCACTAGTCTACATATACATTGGCCTAAGTACGTAGATATGGAGTCGGGGCATGACATAAGTAGATTGAAAATGTCTTTGTCTTTGGGAAGGGTTTACTAGCTTTACATGTGATCATTTTCATTAATTTTTGTCTATCTAAAGTATGTACTGTTATGTTTCTATTATTGTAAGGTCATTCTGAAATGTAAGTGTTGAGTAAGACAGTGACTGTTAACCCCCTGTCACACATTCAGAACCTTCTCCCAACCTTGCCCCTGAACAGTAGCTAACCAAGGTCGAATAAAGTTTGGGAGCAGTCAGGCCAGATCTAGGCCACGTCTGCCTTTGTATACAAATTGAAACGAACACGCCCGAACACCTGCCGAACCTCCCGTCCACACCCAAATGTTTTAAACAGCCAAACAGTAACTGACTCACCAAACTCCAGCCAACCACATTAACCATTTTGATGTCAGTCTCCAGTTCAGCAGTCTAACAGTAACAGATAAATTTGGAGGTAAACTAAATGGTAGACATCACATTCACAAGATGTAGAGGTGTATTGAGTTTGACTTTCCTTGACTAAATGATCACAGTTTACAGACATTTGCCATCCCGGGATCCATTTTCCTCAGCATTCTGATAGGCTACATGTTCCCCTTTCCTCTGGCACTGTTTATTGTATGTTTGGTAAGTTGACATTCATGTCTTTACCACCAGATTTTATTGGTTTCATAAAAAAAGGAAATAAAACATTTCTGAGCAGTGAACTACTGTAATTATGTTTACTGAAGGAAAACATTGTTTTTGCTCTGTTTTCTCTTTTTCTCCAAACAAAAAGTTCAATGACCTGAACCAGACTGTCTGCTGACATGTATTGGGTTACATCATGTTGCAATTTATAGTAGGAGGGATTTAGACTCTTGTCTGACCGTATACAATGTATATGAATGTGTTTGAGTAAAAATTAACAGAGCAGTTCATATGCGAAGGTAAACATTATGTATTTGCTTTGCAAACGGTTTCTAGTCTTAGATTTTTGTTTGTAGGTCATGTTCATGGCTTAGTACTTTTTGTACTGAACATGTGAACATTGTTTCCCCAGTGTTCAGCGACCGGTGCCTCTTTCTGTTATTTATTGTCGTACCTGGTGGGACGCCGGCTGGTCCTACGCTACATCCCCGACAGGGTCAAGCAGTGGTCAGCAACGGTGAGCAGGAGTTTGTGACCAGTAAAAGTTGTAAAATAGAAAATGGCACATGAAAGCACTTTTGGTTGGTGTAGAATACATTGTATCTCATCAAAGTTAGTAAAATGAAGTCCATGCTAGAAAATATAATAGTGCAACATGAATAAAGAAAATACAACATTTATGTCAATATCAAGTTTAATTTGGTTGGCTTCTTTAGGTCTAAAGGAGAAGTTTTTCCTTTTACAACTCTTAACCCTTGTCCTGCGGACCACAACAATTGTTGTTCTGCACATACAGTACCATCTATATAGCACCCTGTGTAGGTACGATTTGGGGGCATTTCTTGCGTATCACACCGCAGCGAAACGCAATGAATACGGAAGTAACCATGCCACCGCAGGGCAAAAAAATTCACGGGTCTATGAACTAATCAAGACATGAAATTATTAAAAGATATTGTGCCGGGAATGCCAGCAGGATAAGGGTTAAGTTCTGACATAAACCTTGAATAGATTGCATTATCCTCAGATAACCTGTACTCTGATTGGTGGATATAAATGATTGACATCTGTCCCTCCTTTAGGTGAGCCGTCACCGTGACAACCTGCTGTGGTACATCATCTTCCTGCGCATCACCCCGTTCCTGCCCAACTGGTTCATCAACATCACCTCTCCTGTTATAGACGTGCCTCTCTACCCATTCTACCTGGGCACCTTTCTAGGTCAGCATAGAACAATATATTGGTTTATTTCACAAATACAATAAACAGTACAATTAGCATGTTTCACATCGCAGCCACAGGCTGAATTGCGTGCACATATTACATACTGTATCACTTATCAAAATCATAATGCCGCAACTATTTAAAACCCTAGCTTATTTTCTTTTAAATACTAGTTAAGTATATACATGTACAAGGACACTAAATACAAGGACACTAAATACAACCTGTAGGCACAAAAGGACTGTACGGATTACCTACTATACAGAGTCGTTCAACAGTGTGACAAAGTATGGAATTGAGCTCTTTTTATAACGGTCGGTTCTTGCTGGCAATTGGTCAATCTTTCTGTTCTGTCTGGTCACCCTGCCGCTAATGTTACCTCTAAGTTATAATGTTACCTCTATACTCTTCTTGAGTGTACTGTCTTGGGTTTCAAAATTCAACAATAGTACACAGGGCTTGAAATCCATTTTGGGAATAGGTGCACTGGTGCACCCAATCTAAATAATTGGGTGCACGAAAATGTGCACCCAATTTGCACCATATCAAGTGAATAAGTAGAATGTCTTTAGCAAGCATCAAGTGTGTATAGTGTTAATCCTTTACACTAATTTAATTTATTTATTAGGCTACACCAATTTAATTTGTTGTTCTTGGATTCGCCGCTCCATTTTTTTGCATTTTCAACAAAAAAAATAAATGCCGGAGTTGAAAACTTTATTAAATGCAATAGTGGCTAATATTAAACTTTGGGTTGACATCATACAAAATGAGACTTACTGTACAAAATGTAACACAGATACATTCAGTCATTCTTTTTCCTCTACCTTCTCCCCCAGGTGTGGCCCCGCCCTCCTGTATAGCGATCCAGACGGGCACCACGCTGTACCAGCTGACTCACTACGGCGCTGCTGTCTCCTGGAAGTCCATGAGTTTCCTGGCTGTGTTTGCTGTTCTGTCTCTCCTGCCTACACTCTTCAAGGGGAAGCTAAAAGAAAAGTTTGACTGATGTTGCATGCATGCTCCTGGTAGATTTTATAATAGGTTGAGCTGGAACCTGAAAATTGGGTTTTTGGCCCTTTAGGCCACACCAATTTAATTTGTTGGGTCTCAGATTTTTTCAGAAAAAATATGAAGCGACAGGGCGAAAAAAATAAAAAACAGGTCTAGGCATCGTATTATAGCACAAAAAGCTACGATAGGAGCCATCAAGTCAACACAAAAGGCTGGGTTACTATTTAAACAATGAATTTGAACTTTTAATCAAACCACTGCATTGATAGTTGGAAAAATTGTAACAGCTAGGAAGAAAAGGACTTTCCTCAACTGTTGGGGGCAAAATATGAAAAGTTTTGAGTTGACTCAGAACCAGAATCTTCTCTTTTTTTTGCAAATCAGAAAAAAATTAAAGAGGTGAATCCAAGATGCAACAAATTAAATTGGTGTGGCTTACCGGTACCTCCCTAATAATGATTGAAATTATACGAAAGGAAAACCTCCAGGAAGATGTTGTCCCTGGTAGATTTTATAATGTTGAGCTGTAAAAATCCAGAACTACTCTTTCCACCCAAGTTACTGGACATTCTTGAAATATGCTCAAATTAGATCACTCCAAAGTCTCTAATACATGCAGATAAAGCACTTTTGAAGGGTTTTGTGTCCCAAAATTGACCCAGGCTGGTGCCAAATTAGGACACAAGATTCAGGTTTTTATATTGTATTTACACAAATGGAATCTTGTCAGTAACATTGTACAGGACCATTTGCAGTCTAACTACAACTTCTCCATGACTGCATGATATACACTGTACTACAAAATGTAGTAGGACAAAATTTTTAACAGGGCATTGCGTCTTAGGTTTCTACTTTCGTCAGAAATGGTAATTTAATTGGGAATTATTTCTACTTCTACTTAAAAGGTGGCCTAAACATTTATTTCCAGGTGACTGAGGACCAAAGGTAGCCAGCAGGAGAATTTGATGTTTTTTTCTGCAAGATGCCACAGTGCAATCCTCCTTGTTCAAATTTTATTTTCAAAGGAAACTTTCCTTTTGGCATGTAGATCCATGCTACTTTGGTAGGGATTTGCATTCTCCAGTTGGTGCCAAGTATGAAAATTCATAGCAAGAAGCTTTGTTAACCTTTACATTGATGAAGGTTAGACATCCAGGTAAATAATTGAATTACCTATGAGTTTGTTAACCTTTTTATGCCTATTGTTCAGCCCTGTTATACAGGTTTGGTAACAAAAGGCTACTTCAAAAGGCTACTGATGAAGTAGCATTTTGTTGTATATTTTCTGTAGCTCATTGACAAAACGTACTGCACCTGTGCGATACCCGTTATGTCAATGTATTGTGTATAGCACTTCAGCAGAACTTCTAATATAAGCTCGTACATGTATATGCGTACATAAGGTTAAAATCCTGTCTTTCATTTACAAATGTCGTGTTGGAAAAGATGTTGTCTGGAACAGGCAAAATTCTGATGCAACGTTGACCAAACATCCAGCGAAAACCGGTGAATATCTGGGTTCCGTGCAGGTGCAGTACGTGTCATTTTCTGTTACTAGTGTTAGTAAAGGTCTGTAGGGTTTACTTGTATCATTTAGGGTGAACATATCCCTGGTATATGTATAGTAATATATACATGTATATATGTGGTCTGGAATTACATAATAGCAGAAAGATATGATTGTATTGGGAAAAGGTGCATGGAATTCTTGAGTGTTTAGAGATTAATATAGAGATAGAAAGGAAAAATAGCTCGAGCAGTGGGTTAGAAATAATTATTTAAGGAATACTACACTACAGGAAGTAAATCTTCCTAGTCAAGGTCTTAATGATGACTTTGGTTGGTTTTGTCCAATTTACATGTAATTTACATGTACAAATGCAGTACATGTAAGTCTTTTTTATGAGAACCAAATCCTGAGAACTCAAAGGGGTAAATTGTATTCTATGTACGATTTGTCATCTGTGAATACATAGAATGATTTAATTCCATACCTCATACTATGATAATATCATTACAACTGATGACTGTGTTGCTTACAGAACTCAGACATTTAGGTTTAGGTTGGAAACTTGCAATCACATCTTGAACTCAGGTATTTGCATGTTAAGAGATATGCTGGATTATGTTAGAATTGACTAAGTGTCACACACAAAGGCCATTGTAAAGCTGTCTACCACAAGTTGTCACAATATGAAAGTTCATCCGTGTTGGTAGTTATATGTTTAAAGTTAAAACTTTTGATCCAACACAAAAAGTTCTCTCACCTAGAGCTTTCGACCAGTTAATCTGGTCTTCCTCAGTAGACTGACCCAGTGAAGCTTGTCACTAGGCTTCTTTGAAGTGTGACGTCAACACTGAGTCAAAAGTATCTGGTAGACGATGTCGGCCCCCGTGACAAGAAGCCACGTGACAAGCTTCACTGGGTCAGTCTACTGAGGAAGACCAGAGTGACTGGTCAAAAGCTCTAGGTGAGAGCACTTTTTGTGTTGGATGAAAAGTTTTAACTTTAAACACGATTTGTTACAGTTAGAACAAACATTCCTTGTACACCTAGACTCAGGTACAGTAGTGGTTACAAACTTTCCAATGGGTCTTCTGCTACAATGTTGTGTATGTACCATTATATTGAAACAACCTGGGTGCATGTACAGGTTAGCCTCTACCAGGCTTTAGAAGCGATCTACTAGTATTTGGCCAATTTCTACTCTTTCCAGCCACTTCTGAAGTCCAATAGAGGTCACATAAAGGTCTGGAGTTTGTGCAATTTTTTGAGGAGGCATTCTTACATTTTGATTTAAAAATTTCAGTTTTGATCGCTGCCTTTGCAAGTCTGGCCAAATTCTGTAGTGCCATATATACATGTATCTATGGTTGTGAAATGTATGCAGTAGTCATGAGATATTGTTGTACACTTCAGGTTGTACTTCAAATACATAGTATTTACAGGTCCTACCACAGGCAGTAGGCCTCACTATTACCGGCTTCCTACAGAAGAACAAGGTCTAGGTTTAGAGTAACATCCTGCTGTAGACCAATTGAGTGTCAAAGAGTGAGGGCCATAGCATTATTCCATTGAGATTGGAAATGTTTTGTTAAACATGAAATGCCATGTGTGAACGATGGGTGTACAACTTTGGCATGTTGATAAGTGATGTCATTGAGATTGGGAACAGCTTCATGTATAAATCCACGATTGAGATGTTGTATCGCAGGTGGGGATCCTTCCTAGACTTAGCTACCCATTGGTTGTTTTTAATCGTTTTCAAATGTTTCAACTAAGAACTGTGCAGTGTAATAAGTGCAAAAAAATGATTGTTTGAAATGGCTCCGCTGGTGCAATATATATGTAGTGTCTGTTACAGATAAATACCCTCAACCTGATATACATGTATTAGTGTTTGTATTTGATTTTGACTATTGTAGGAACATACTATATACAAATGTACATCCATTTGAATACACATGTACGTCAGATGGACTTTCCTGGCACTTCTCTTTCTTTAGTCTGGTACACGATGCTAAACCAGATAGTAAGTGATGGCTGAAGTGGCTGGAAAGAGTAAAAATTGGACAACATGCAAGGGAAGCACTCCTTTAGCAGACCAACTCCCTTGGCATGTTATCTATTTGGCCAATTTCTACTCTTTCCAGTCATTTCCAAAGCCTGGTAGAAGACCTGGGCTATTTTCACATTGTCACAGCAACACTTGAATAAATCTTTAAAAATAAAACAATCAAACATCAGACCACACAAGACTTCCGATTCCTGAAATCAGTAACAACAGGTTTTATTGAACTGAACAGGTAATACACACAGAGTATTGACTTCTACACCATCTCTTCATCATGATCAGGTTGCCATGGTGATGACACAACATCCTTCCAACTTTGCCTCTCCATCACAGATAAAGTTCTGATACGGGAAGTACAAGATGACGATGAAGAGTCAGTCTGAAGTTTTCATAGACTGGAAACTGGGCAGACCTGGACTCTGGTAAACCCTCTGTTGCTGCTAACTTCAGGAAGGACGTAGTTTCTAGACGGCAGTAACTTACAGGCCCAGCTTGGTACGCCTCCAGTGACGTCTCTTGGCATTGTACCTGGAACAATGCAAGGTGTAATGATGTAAGTCTGTGCACATGTATGGTGTTCTTGCAATCCTAATGAAGTCAGGAATACATGTACCTGCACTATGCTAAAGCTTCCTAACAGTGGGTAACAATGACAGGGTTGGACAAGTTTTCAAAAATCCACTTGCCATTTCGACTTGCCCAAATCAACTTTTCACTTGCCCAAAATATACATACATTGTACATGTCTTTCTGTGCATTTTTACTACCACCAAGGAAATGATCTTATTTTGGAGTTTATAATGTTGGACGCTTTATTTTTCAGTGGTTCCACTTGCTCCAAACACTGTAGCAGCTATACTTTGCATCCAAACAATACTTTCACTTGCCCTGCAATTGGACTTGTCCAACCTTGAATGAGCATATTCCGACGATGATAACACTCAAATTCATATATCACTTCAGAGTTCTGAATCCTATACAGAGTTCTTACTTCTTAGCCTGTCAATCTCTCACTGTTATTAAGGGCTGAGTGGGCATCTAGAGTTTGTGGCCATACACTTCTACATGATGTAAATTGAGGGACCCTTTCCAAGAATACTGAATTATAGGAGCTGAGGATGTCTTACTACTGGCACTTCCATGGCACATAACGGCTTGCAGACTGGCTTGCGCCCTGATTTTCTTGGGGAAAAAACTGAATGAAGTTCACACCCAGACTTTGTCTTTGACCTGAAGCACCCACTTGAGACTTTGATGGTCAAGAAAGTTTATTAGAAGAGAAATATGGTAATAATTATTACCTGATGGTGTTGCCAGTCTTCATGCGGACCCACTGTGGGATAGGACGATTCTGCTTCTGCTTCTTAGCAAGCTTCTTCTTGATGCGGAATGTCTTGTGGGCTCCCTGGTGACAAAAGGTATGCAGAAAAAGGTTATGTTCAAGCACTACACAGTTCAAGTACACTAGTAGCCAATAAAAGTTATTAAAACATGATATCGGAGTCCCAGTAGATAATTAATTTGTAAAAGACTACAGCTAGCGAGTTAGTGAAGGAAGCAGAATTGAAATTTACAGTGACGTTCATTTATTTATTTATCTATTTCATCTTGAAAACACCTGGTTCATTGATTTTGTATCTGAGCAAGTACTAGTAATAATGTTACTAACAGCAGTACTACAGTACTTTGCTCTTCATGAAGATTATTTCTGCAAGAACTTACTGTGCCCCCCTCCCTCCCCCTGCAAACACAACTTTGCTAAAAAAAAAGCTTAAGAAGTTCGAGTAATCTGAATCAAATGAGCGGACGATGTTCAAGTGTGTAGCAGAGCGTTCCATGCTATTGATATCATATAGAAGTAACCATGGGAGTCGAGGTTAGACATAAGCTGGATAGACAGGACGAGTTCTGTCATCTGTTGTGCTATCTAGAGGGAACTCTCGTGTTCTTGCGTTGACGGGAGCTAGCAAACCTAGCATTATGTACGCCATCCGTACGCCCAAACTAGGGAATCGTAAAAATCAAAGTCTTATTATTTATTAGGACCCTCAAAAAACGTATGAAATGGAATATGACCCTCTTAACTTGCTAAAAATTCCATACCATTTTTACTGTTTTCGCTTCTCGTCTGCTCCAAGATGGCTGACGATGGAAAAAAGGAGGATCGAAATCGAGGCTGATGGATCATACCATCGGAACAGCTTGTAGAGGACGTAAGTTTATAATCATTATATTGATCAGCTTTAAAAGATACATAAACAAATTTATTTCATATAAATTAATATCTGTACATGTTTAATGATTGAATTAGAACTATTAGCAGCAATTGATAACAATTGATCCTATATTTAGCTTATTAGTGGATTCGTAAAAAGTCAATTTGGTTTGTCCCAAAAGGTCTTTGATATTCTTCCGCGATCAAAGTCCATATTCCATCATTTTTTATATTCACACGTAAAATCATCACAAAAATACTCGAGTATTAAAGCAGTAACACTTATCGGTATTAATTAAGAACTTGGTCATTTTGGATTAAACGTTGCGACCTAAATAAATTGGGAGGGTTATTTTGGCACTATTTTCTGTGCGTAGGGCCACCATTGTTGACAGAGCATGTGTGTTGTTCGGCTCCAGGTGAAAGAATGGCCCCGACTGAAAACTTTGTCTCCGATGTTTGCTTGTTGCTGTGATACTTTCCGTGTCGGATTGTCAAACATGGGGGCCCAGAGTAGGGTTTCGAGGACTTGTATTTCAGCCGAAGGGCGATCCTAGGGGTCAATTAGGCATTGATACGCCGGGGTCGGCTTGCCTGGGTTGTTTTGTACAAGTTGGGGTGAAGAGAGCGGGCAACTAGTGTTTGGAAGGCCTGGGTTCGAATCCCCAAGATGAGTTTCTCTTTGAAGCCCGATCCAGAGTTCGAGTTTGGCGTGGTAAGTTTTGGCGACTTCCTTGTGTTATATCACCCACATTCCCCTCGTTTCCTACGTTTTTGTTGTGATGTTTCAGATCTAAGAGAACTTTTCATTGCCCACAGAACTCTTACGATGCGTTTATGAAAAAACACCTGCAACACTACGGTTACTATACAGGTGAGTGAAGCTTTTCTCGTTCATTCAGTAAATCAAATTCGCAACAACAAACAGGGCTTCTGTCCATTGTACTTGATCTAATTACTTGTGTCTCACACAATGGTATCGCTTTGTTTTTGCTGAGAAAACTTAAGATTTAGAACAGACAACAAAATTTGAAGTGAGATCATTTTTTGTCGTCTGCACTTGGGCCAACTTTACTTGCTATCGTCTGTTAGAAACCACAAAATATGTCAATATGATTAAATTGTGTGGGATAAAAGTGGACCAATAATGTAAATAATAGAAATCCAATTATGTTGCATGAGTTCTAAACACACGATCCTGCTGCTAACCTACTTAGAGAAGTATGGGAAATACGATTTGTACCTATATAAAGGTATTTGCTGTGTACAATAGCAAATGAAATAGTAGTATTCACAGCAAGGCAAAGAAATCACTTTAGAAATCAATTGAGCTTTGCAGCAAATTCCCATTTATCCAATATATTGCTATCTTCTTATTTCAGTTTACAGTACTGTTTAAGTGTTGTTGTTGATATGGGTTAGTTGGTGTACTCCGGTCAGTGTCACTTATAACCTTAACTTACAAGGTTCAATGTGCCCTGGTAACACTAGTAGCAGCTGTTTAATGTTTTACCAGAGTTTGGTAACAAATACAAAACTTTTCCTTGCCCCCGATTTGTCCGCATTTAGGTCAGTATTTTCAGCTCCACAGAAAAAATGGTTTGCCTGAAGGGAATTACACCTACAGGCTTCCTCAACTCAAATTAAACACAAAGGGTTCTTAATTGGTGAGCTAAATTGGGCTGCGGCGCTGATAGAGTGATAAGGGAGGGGCAAACCTTAATGTGACTGAAGCAAAGGAGCTTAAAGTTTGTTCTATCATTTGGGGTTGTGCAGTGTTTGTATGTTGTGTAATGTTTGTAAGTGTCTTAGGAAGGATAAGGATAAAGTAAGTCCAGCTTTTACAGGTGTCAAGGTATCGTTTTGATGGAAGATATTTAGGCAGGTGTGTTTGACAGGAACACACTTCAGGTTAGATATATGTTCTATAGGCGAGGCTGCCAGATGAAACGGAAGTCAGTGTTCTTGCGCTCTGTGAAATTAAAGGGGAGAGAATTTAAAGGCATGCAATTTCAGGGTGGCAAAACGAAAGAATATTCTGGATAAGGAAATCTGTTAGATATTGTCATTTTAATTTTACTACCATTTGAATTTCTTGGCACAGTTTTGTCATCATTTCATACTTGAAGTGTTTGAAATAGCCCCCAAACAAGTTATGACAGGCCCTTTATTCAACAGCCAGAACCAGCCTATGGTACAAACAAGCAACCGTTTCTGTCAGCACATTTTTGCCTCATAGTTATCAGTATGCTATGGAAATAGGGCTGATTCAACTGATATATTTTTAAAAATGACCAGAAAATTGACTTTGAAATCCAGTTTAACTCCCCCGAAATCACTCAGTGTGCCTTAAGTTTAGTCCTGAATAAATAAAGACCAGTATGTCCTCCAGGCAGGATCCAGAATGCACAGCTATGAATAAAGTCTGGGGATGAGAAGCAGCTTTTTGTGAGGTAGGCTGCTAATGCGAGAGGTGGGTAAATACCATGACGGTATCTAGGTGTCCTGGGGCCACGATGTTTACCTGCACCTGCACATATTTCTGATGTCTACCTGCACCTAACCTGCACTGGACCATGTACTGGGTATATGCAGGTTAGTGCAGGTAAAATTGGAGCTGTGCAGGTATTTCTGATGTCAACCTGCACCTAACCTGCACTGGACCATGTACTGGGTATATGCAGGTTAGTGCAGGTAAAATTGGAGCTGTGCAGGTATTTCTGATGTCAACCTGCACCTAACCTGCACTGGTCCATGTACTGGGTATATGCAGGTTAGTGCAGGTAAAATTGGAGCTGTACAGGTATTTCTGATGTCTACCTGCACCTAACTTGTACCAGTCCATAAACACCTGTATACTACTACTATATGATCCAGGTAAGACCATGGTGTGCCATCAATATGACTAAGCCCACTTGTCCACAAGGTCACACTCAAGCACTTCTATCAAACCTGAAGTGGTACTGAATCACCTCCAATCAGAATGCAATGTGCTCCCCACACGTAAGGCACATTAAGTGCTTTCTTGTGGATGTAGCATGCTAAGAACCCTTTCAAGGAGTCTGTTGTTGTCTAGGAATGTCTCAAGTGGGGTATGTAGATGCATGTTTGTAGGAACTTGAGTCCTTGTTACACACAAGAACAAGTCTGAACCATGCTACAGCCCAGAACAGGTAACAACTTGTATCATCTCAGCATCTTCCTAAATGTACCATTTTCAAGGATAAAGTATACAGGGCTGTGTTGGGGTGTATATAGGGCTAACTCAAGTTATGGTGCTAGAACTAGAGTAGAAGGTTAGTGACCTAGCCGGCTTTAGACTTAAAACCTTAATCCAGAAAAGAGGGTACGCATGGAAGGCCTAAGGGATGCAGTGTATCCCTCCTTAATCTTTAAGTGTATTGTCTTTGTTTCTTGTTGGTCACAGGTTTGTTGGTTGGTGTGTTTCTCTTAGGTTGATATGTAACCCTTTCCTGTTACAGTTGGTAAAGACATGTGTACGTATTACAGTCAGCTGAGCAGTGTGTTGGGGTGTGTACATTGTGCTATGTACTGTAAAAGAAAAAAAAAAACTGGAGTCTTTACAAAATGTCTTTTCTATAGATTAAAGTTAGCCTTTACCTTTTCACAAAGCCACTTTCAATCCCATTTGTGCATTTTAAAGCTTCCGATCCCAGCTGGATCTGCAGTTGACAAGTTTTACTTGTGAGAAGTCCGGAATGGCCGGAGGGGCATAGCAACATGGCAGGCATTCACCTGACAAATTGTGTGTTGTAATAACATGTTCTGCTGGGCAGAACAATTTTACACATGGGTGAATTTAGCTATGTTTGAGAAACCACTGTGAAACAGAAGCTCTGGACATAAGGTTTTGCTTACTCTGAAGGATTTGGAAATATTTTCTGTTGAGGTTTTGTCCATTGTCACTGTCTTTTTGCTAAGACAATTAAAAAACTTGTTTCTTTGTGTTACCGGGTAGCACAAATTAAGTGTCAGTTGAAAAAAAATTTAGTCCTGTCACAGCAAATTTGAGAATGGTAGGTTCCTTAAAAGCAAACCACCAATACTGATCACTGTTACTGACAGTCACAACTCTCTCATTTCAGTAACATTTCAGTAACATTTCAGTAAAACAGCATGACTGTCAGGAATGTATATAATCTATTAACTTTTAATTCTTAAATGTTCCATGATACTCCTAATCGCATTAAAGTTGGGCGTAATAACTTAATTGGAACTAAATTTTATAGGATGTATAGGGATAGCAATTGAGGTTTTATCCACTATAGCAAATCTTCTAACAGGTAGTTGTCACACCCAAATCCCAGTGGATAAATAAGATTAAGAGATGGTGTTGTTTATAACTGAATGTAGGCCAGTATTACTGTATATGATTACATCTGAACAGCCTCTCTGTACATGTCTGTCACATCACTCCACACCTTTTGTGAAGGGATAACCGTCTCCCTGTTGTTGGGGTTGTCTCTGTCTATTCAGGAATATCAGATAGTGTGGAGGGTATCCGTTACGATTAACCTAATTGATGTACACACACATTTTTACATCAAAACATTGGAAAAGTTGTGTGCCGTATGGCTATACCTTGTGAGAATCGTGTGCTAGTGCCAGGTATGCCACATGGTGTTTCAAACAGTTCCGTAAACACCGTAAACGGATGATATAAATGGTTCAGGGTCGCTTGAGGCTACCCGTCAGTGATATGTTTCTGTGGGGTCGACAGCTCTCTTCAGCGCCGCTAAATTTCGTGTTTGGAGAGAAACAAATCCGCTGGCCTTTGAGTGGTTTTGGGAACACGATATTCCTGTGTTTTTGACTCAGAAACTGTTATCTGGGTGTATTTAGTGGATCTGTTTGCTATAGTAACAAAATTTCTAGATGGTAAAAAAGTTTTCTCGACTTTCCTTATCATACATGTTTGTAGAATGTCGTTAAGTTTTCTTCGGTGACAAGTAAGTCTTCTGTTATTTTGTTTTGGAATATGTTCCCTTTGAAAACGCTAGTGGAGGGGGGCATTGTTACTTGTTTACAAGCCAAACAAGTTGATAGTAACAAAAACAGAGTGGACATATTGGGTTGCTTAACATGTCGTCTACTCCTTTCTTTGGTAACATTACCAGCAATGTTTTCGTGTCAATATTATATAGCAGAATGAAAATACTGTACACTAAACTCTTTTTTCTTTTCAACTTTTTTTTCAATATCATATCACTACCCTCAAAAACTTTCAACTTGACATTTTGTGGTTGAGGCCTCGACATACAATGTATCTGTATATGCATTAAGTTAGTGCATGTAAAATTGGAGCTGTGCAGGTATTTCTGATGTCTACCTGCACCTGACCTGCACTGGTCCATGTACTGGGTATATGCAGGTTAGTGCAGGTAAAATTGGAGCTGTGCAGGTATTTCTGATGTCTACCTGCACCTAACCTGCACTGGTCCATGTACTGGGTATATGCAGGTTAGTGCAGGTAAAATTGGAGCTGTGCAGGTATTTCTGATGTCTACCTGCACCTAACCTGCACTGGTCCATGTACTGCAGGGTATATCCACACACTCCTTTAATGCAGGTGTGTATGCAGAAGAAGTATTTCTAGGCCTTTGGTTGCTGATTGTTACATAATACTTGTCTTTCATATTTGGAAAGTAGGACAATACTTGAACCACAGTAGGTTGCTTATCAAGGCTCCTTGATTCAGAAACTGATTGCACCAACTGAAATCAGGTTGCAACATTGTAGCCTTCCTCATGTGTAGCTTTTATATCCTAATGTAGCATGTTCTTAACTTTCTAGTGTAGCAAACAGTAACTGTTTCCCAAAGAAGGATAAACAACAATAAATTTAATCCCGGAC